CCCCACTCTGGCTACTCAGTTCCTGATGTCATGGCAGTGCCATCCCCCAGCAGAGCCGGAGCAGGGGGGCAAGGCTAATGGCACTGACCTCACTCCCTACCCTGGCCCTGCTCCTTGGGGGAAGGAGGGGATCAAGAGGCCTGGACCCGATGCAGTGGTGGAGGGGGGAGGAACGGGGCCTGATGAGAAATGGCAGATGAGGGGCTCCGTCACTGCCTGCTCCCCTCCCTCCCCAATGGCACAGAAACTAGGGCTGTAGCAGGTGGGCAAGGTGCGCGGGGTGGGGGAGCATGGGGCCAGAGGCAGAGCGGTGGCAGCACGGGGTGTTGGGTAGCAGCACTCTGTCCTCGGCCACCTCACCCCCCATCATTCTTGACAGGCAGTTGGCTAGCTGATACATAACTACTCCTTCCCCTATTGGGAAAATGCTAATGTACGTGCTCATGTGTTCTCAGCACATGAAGAGTCAGGACTTAAGATCAACAGTAAGGTCCCACTCCCCTTGCCCACCCTTTAAAATAGTATTTTTGACATTTTAAGGATGGAATCCTTTATTTGTGAATATCCACAATGCAAGCTTTCCCATATAGCTGTTTCAGTAGGCACCCAGTTTCATTAGGTTTTCACACTGGTTTTATGTTAGCATAACTGCATGTACTCCAACATAGTTATCTTTTTCACTGCTGTACATTATAGCAGAATTTGCCTGATTCACCCTGGACTAACACTGCTGCCGATGCTGTTATTGTCCAAGCCCTTTTGTATGGAACATAAAAGGGGCCACAATAATTTTTCCAGCCATGCTAAAGTACTCTCTTCTGTAAACAGGAAAAGGGCTTTTGTCTGTCTTTTCATTAAAAAAACAATTCCTGAAAATTTCTGCCCCATCAATCTAAATCCTTGGGCAGGTTTTCCATTTGAAGTTTCAGTCTCAATCCTGACAGTAATTACTTATCTTCTCTATAAATATAACAGCATGTAAAAACTTTTCTGTTTGTGTAAGCTCCTTTAGATATTTAGATTAAAAAAAACAGTAACTTGCATAGCTGAGCCTGCTATGATGCAATTAATGTGTCATGTACTTCCTAAGATTATTTCCAAGGTTAAGTTTTAATTAAAAAAAAAAAAAGTCCTTAGCCTCTTTCTTTCATTCCAGGGCCCAGGACTGAAATCCTGAATTGATTCATAAAGGCTGCTTGCAGATGTGAAAAAAACCCAAACCGTGCTTTAAATTTGGCGTGGTCCTATGCCGAGCCCAGCACACACCCAGAAGAGGCAGCGTGTTACTTTGACTCATCTCTGCAGCATCTTTATAGATCAAGCACTTTGGGGGGGTGAGTTGGTGCTTTTATCTAATACCTGATTGAATCAGCTATTACATAAAAGTGCCAAAAAGCCCTGCTGTAGCACCCAGTCTATACAGACGCTGCAGAGCCAGGTTGAACTAACGCACTGCTTCTTTCAGTAAAGCGCATTTTTGGTTTGTTTGTTTTATTTTTGTTTCACATCTAAAACCAGTCAAAGAATTTTAATTTCAGAGAGAGCTGAAATCCAGTACTCTGATAACACATGATAGACAAAGCAGCGCCATTTGAATCCAGAACTTGGTCTTGGTCTCCTTCTGGATCTGATCTACCTGTAGTCTAGGAACAGAGTTACAGAAAAACAGGTTTTAGAATGGCTACCATGGTCTGCTTTTACTGACTGAATTTTGGGGAAAAATACATTTTTTGTGTCAAGATCATTAAAAAAATATATTGGCTCTGGAATATAAAAAGTGCTCCTGGGGGAGATGGGTCAGAGGGAAGAGAACTGGGGAAGGTGGCAAAGTTGTGAAATAAAATGCACAACTTTAGGAACAAATTAATTTGATTTGTCTTGTTCTCACTAGATATAAGATATAATTTTGCATTAAGAGCCACATGTTCATCCCTTCACTTTAAGGCACATTCTGGACCTTAAATTCACCTGTCTTGGAATATATGCAGTTTCACTGTCCTTCAGAAAACCTCTTGCTAACTGTAGGTCCAAAGATTTCCTCAAATGTCCTTCAGTGTCATTCAAATGTCCTTCAGTCCAAACATTCGCTCAAATGTTCACCTTCAGTGAAGATCCCACAGTGCAAAGTAGGGAGTTAGTTGCAGGCTTGTGGTACGTACAAGCATTGCATTTAAATTGGTCTAACTAAGGTTAGGTCCATCTAAATGCCCAGTTGTACAAATGTTCACAGGATGTGCCTACAAATGGCACATCCAGTCTAACTTGGTTCACCTCAAGAGGTGAACTAACTATAGATTGGCTTGGGTTAACCTGATCTAGCAAAGGTTAATCTGGTCTAACAAATGCCTGCACATGTTCACAGCACAGCTCTGGGGGCTGGGAGAGCCCAGCCTTTTGAGCCAGTCCTGAAGCTGTGCTGTTTTACCACCCCTGCCAAGCCCCCACCCCATTGTACACTCACCAGTCTCCTTGATCCCATCAGCCTGCCCCCGCCATGATACCTCTGCCTGGACGAATGCTTGTACAAGGCAGAAGGTGAATCAGGTTTGGGCAACTCAGAGCAAGCTGCCTAACCCAAGCTGGCTGGTTTGAAGGCTTATTTATTCACATCCTAGGTGAACAGTATTTACCACTGTTGAGTGAATTAGAGGGGAATATGCTAAAGAAAGACTGAATTTCCTCCCTTCCATGGCCTATATCTTTTTGGGGAGAGGGGAGGGAAAGAGGTGATGCTCTAGAGACAGTTATTTTAATTTGTGTTTCTGAACATTTAATACAAAACCAAGCTTAACTAGAATCAAATCATAGTAATCAGAAAAGTAAGAAATTATTGTTAGGCTATTCAGAAGTAATTGCCAGGACTGGTTCTGCCAGGAAATATTCTCCCAATAATTTAAAGTCTTATAACAGTAAAACCAATCATTAGACTCAATAATTATCTCTGAAATAGTTTCAAAATGAATGAAGCCTGGAATGATTATTTGAAAATAAATCACATCCTGACAAGAAATGTTCAAAAATGTATATTTATGAAGACTAGTTTTACCTTAAATGTGCTGTAGTATCACCTGCTTAGATAACTGTATACTTGGGTAGGAGGTACTTTTACTTTAAACTTCTTATTGAAGAGATATGGTAAACAAAATAACAATTAAAGGCAATTAACTTACAGAAGGAAAAAAAGCTTTAACATTGTGTTGATTCCTTATTCTCAAAATTGCAAACTGCCAAAGCAGAGCAGAGGCTGAGATTTTCCTCCAGATTAGTTGAAAAGCGACTGAAAATTAAAAACTCACGTACCATATCTTAAATCTGAAATGAGGATTGAGATCACAGTGTCATTGTCAAGGTGACTTTCCTCAACCTGAGAACTGCAGAATGCAGGTGTGTAGCTTAATATAGAGTTTCATGTAGTTAAAATAATTACTTTCTAACAAATAATGCAATTATGCTGTAAAGTACTATCTTTATTTCTTTTCTATTTTGATACTTATTCTCCTTTTTATTTCTATGTTTCTTGTTCTGATTTCTTCCCTCATTCCATATAACTTTTTCCTTTCCATAGCATTTTTTTCTTATTTCCTATATAACCTCTCCAGTGCATTATTATGTTGGCATTTTTTATTTCTTTCTAAAGGAAGAATAGCATAAGCATTGGTCACACACACGTGCGTACGTGCGCGCACGCACACACACACACACACACACACACACTATATGGATACACATGAAAACAGAACAGTCATCCTATACAAATTAGTATTCAAAGGCGATTTATATTCCCAAGGCATCCTTTCTTCTTACAACCTTGTTTTCAAGTGAATGCGTAAGCTGAATGTATGAGATCTGTACCTACAATGGTGATGCACCAGTTCAGATTCTGATTAAGCTGTTACTAATACTGCTCGTCTTACAGTAGCTCCAACCAAGAATATGTTTTATTTTTTCAGCATGCATTCACACATGAAAACATTCCTATCTTGAAGAGCTCGTGGTTTATGCAGATGAGAGAGAGGAAAATATCTTTATCCTCATTTTAGAGATGGAAAACTACTGGTAAGGCAGAGAGACTTGGCCAGGTTCACACAAAGTTTGTATCAGTACTAGGAATTTAATACACAGTTCTCCTAAATCTCAGTTTAATGCAGTCACCCCTCTTGCTTTCTAAGTAGTGAGCTTCAGAATCAAAGCTCCCTTGCCAGAAATACAGAATTCAATATAAAAGACTATTGGTATCTATGTCTCATGCTATTACAAACTCTAGGAATGGTGTGTAAAAACAACGGTGGCTGCTTTTCTTAGGTAGCCAAGAAACATGGGCTCATAGGCTAATAAACAGAATGATTGAAGTATAGGAGAGACTAGTCTTCTTTTACTGAGGCCAATATTTTTCTTTCCTTCAACAGAAATTGCAGCGTTTTGAGTATCATAATTTCATGCCGCCTTCTATAACACATGTGGCTTAAGAGCTAAAGAACGGAATTGACTGTATATGCGGTAAGTTAATCCTTTGCTGTTTTAGCTTCTATAGTATTTTTATCACTTAAAAATGAAAAGGTTCAATGCTATGCAAGAAGCGGGTTCTGGACCTGTACTCTGAGAATAAATTTGGTTGTTTGAATAAACAATGTGCCAAGCTTTTAAAGCATGATTCAGTTTAGAGCTCTCTACCTTTCATGATATGAAAGATTTTCATGGGCTGGATTAGCTTTCTTGGGGGACCCTTGACATTGTCTTGTAAGCTTTTGCCTTGGGGAATCTGACGGGTTTTATTCTTGTTGAGTCTGATGACTCTTATTGATTTGATTGTTGTCCTCCAGAAATCTCTTCAGATGTACTCGCTTTCCTTACAGAGGTAGATTAACTGTTTGACCTTTAAGCACTGCATGAAAATCAACTTCTTTCTCTTAAATGCAAAAAATGTCTTTCTGGTTAATGTGTTTAGGAGAAACCTGAAGTTTGTGTTGGGATATTGTTGCTACAGTCCCACTCTTTATTCTGCAGCTTGCCTCATGGCAGATTGTTTCATTACCCAGCAGTATCATTAATCTTTTTTATTAGCACCTTAAAAATAAACAAACAATGATTTTGTTGTGTTTGACACAAGTAGTGCATTTTAATTTTGTAGGCTTATATTATTGACTTAAAAACAACAGCAACAACTCAGATTGAAATACTGACTGACAAATATGAAAACACGATTCAGATGTGTGGGAAATATAATGGCATCTGTTATGCATATTAAATGAAGTGTGCAATTTTTGTATCTTCCACATGGAGCTTACCATTAATTTAGAAAGTTAGTATTAATTAATTTTGAGAAATAATAACTTGTTCATTTTGCAGTTATGACGATAGAGTTACATGTCAAGCGCAATGTACCTCTTTTTCAGAAACAGTAAGAGTTGTTCTGAGTTTCATGATTACCTTAATTTCAAGAACATTATCTGAAAATAGGAGGTCCTTGGAATTCTGCATTCTTAGTTTATGCCTTCTTAACATGCCGTTCCTCCGAACAATATGTGGTCCTTTCTTTATGTTGCAGTCAAAATAATAGTAATGGCTATGATGTTGATGCTGATTTATATATATTGAGGAGCAGTAGTATTTTGCCTTGGTTATATAGTAAAAGTATACCTACACCAATATGTTTTACAAAAATAATAAATTCTTCACCAGCTGTCCCCAACTGCATGTGAGTATAGACCATGGAGAACTGAATATATTGCCACTATATTCTACTTGTGCTGGAAACTTCATCCAAGTGGACCCCTCAGGAAACACCAAGTCCCAGATAGACTTTGTGTTCCTTCCCAAGGGGGGAGGCAGAGAAGGCTTGCTCCACACCCATCTGTTTCTCAGACCACTGCCTCCTAACCATCCAGGCTGACTTTTTTTTTTTTTTTCCAGGAAAATTGTTCATGTTCCAAGTCAAATTAGCCAAATCATTTCCAAATCCATGAGTCATTCAAGAACTGTATGTGGCCCAGCTACCAGCAAGCATCCTTCACCGCATCTGGGGCTTCAGATGCTTCTAAATCCTTTGGCAGGCCTCCTAAGTGCAGGCCCAAGCCCAGAGGCTTAGGGTTGAGATACCCCCAAGTTTCACTTGCCCATATGACTGCAGGAGCAAGCTAGGAAAGAGCCCCCATTTCCATAAAGTCAGCATATAGCCAGGGTCTTCCCACTGTAAGTGAAAGTGGGAGGCTAGCTATGCATTACCTTAGTTAGGGAACTACCCCCTGACAAAAAGTGGTTTCCTCTGCAACTAGGAAAACTACCTTAGTGGTCATGATCTTTCCCCAAGAGGCAAACATGGTTTTTTAGTATTTTTTTTGCAAAAATATTGATTTATAT